GGAGAAATCCGGGTGTGGGAGGGCAGAGTGTGGGAAATGCTGCACAAGTCTGACTCACTATTAGGCTATTAACAGGCAAACTTAACTTTCCGGCGCTCACTCTGTAGGGCACGCGATGGAGCTCGCTGATCATGCCAACTAAATTCTCAGACTTTCCCAGAAAGTCTTGCAACATTTTGGACCTACGCCAACTGTTGTCGCAGTGGAGTTTTCTTGAATAAGAGGATTTTCCCGTAATCTCAGGAAGTAGGCATCACTTAGACTGTAAACAGACTCCCATTGCAAGTCGCTAAAAAGGGAAAAGTAGTTTATTGGCACAACTGACAGATATGATAGGGATTGTTCATTAGTGGAGCAGTAAGTTGACGCAGAAATCCATGATTTTGACATGGTGAATTTCACATATTTCCTGATTTCTTTTCAAAATATTTATTACTTAATACGCCGAACAGGTTGCAATCAACCTCTGCTTCCGCAAAACCTGATTAGTCGTAAGAAAATGACCTCTTTTATATAATAGACCTGCTCTTTGCTCAGAGGATTCTCCAAATCAGGAAACCATGCATTTGAGGAAATATAAATAGCGGACGGAATTTGGAATGCCTACTGGGTGGGGCAGATTTGAGTTACGACGGATATGCTTTGCTGCTTGAGTACCATTTTCTTCCTTCCGCCTGTTCGACCCGCTGATAGGGCATGCAGAATGCAATGTAACTCGTAAAATATGTGTACTTTCAAGACAACACCTTATACCGGCCATACCACATCAACAAAATGGTCAAACGAAAATAACTGAATTGCAAAAAATGTATTTTAGTATAGAAAATATTTTTGGGTTAGTCAGAAATAGCGGTGGTCAAGGAACACGAAATGCTGAAATCGCAATAATTCTACTTAAATATGTAAACATAGTTTCTAGAAAAACAGACAACATGATGATGCAAATAACTGAACGGATAGACTTACATAGGCAGAAGACCTTTTGAATAAATATCCCTTAAAGTAACTCGCCTTGCATTATAGCAGCTACCTGGTTGTGCGATAATAATCAATATGCTTTTAAACCACGCTTCAAGAATGTGAGGTACTTACGCCGTCTATGAATTAAGTTGTGGTTAAATTAGGACGCAAACAATTAAAGACTTTTAATTCGAGTGTACTTGCGCTTAAATCCATGAAGATTTTGTTTGAGTTTAAGGTAATGGTCTCCTGTAAAGTGAGCGTTAGATTTAAGGAAAAGCTTGAAGTTGAGCATTGGGTAAGGCTTCATTTAAGGTTTAGAACACGGAAAATCATACCCTTTCTCAAATTTACCACAAGAAGTTCCTATTCCCGTGTGTTACTCTGATTGCCTACCGCGTAGATGCACTCGCACGATTTCGTTTTTAAGGCGGTCCCAGAAACAAGGATTTTCATTAGGTTACATTTCGTGTATCAGTTTACCGTTTTCCCTATACCGAACACATTTACGGTGCCTGTTGGTGGTGGTTGAGGCTGTTGGATGCCAGAAAGATTTTGCAGTTCATGGAGTGTCTTTCCAATTGGAAAGAGATTTCAGTTTACGTGAACATATTGTGTTCATTCTATTTGCATGGATTGAATAACCCACTTGGAAATTGTGTGTACGTTGTTTCTTTTTAAAGGTTTTCGCAACTTGATTAATGTTCATTGCGTGCGAAAACATACATGGCTGCTTTACACTAAGTAATTGCCTAAACAGTTGGCCAAATACAGAGAAGTGCTGACGGCGCCTCTGAATGTACGCTTTTTTTCGCGCATAAAATTGTTTCGGAATATACTCCGCGTGCGTACCGTGTCTGCAGTAGCGCAGTTCTCCAATCATTAAGGTGTCT